CTTGCAGGATTCCTCAGCCAGCATTGCTGGCTGGGGAATCCTATAAGCTGGAGTCCACCCATCTTCAAGTGGCCAAGGTTGAGAAACACTGGCTAAAAAAAACCATGGCACAAGGTGGTCTGAATTCAGCCATTCTAAGGGTTTGGGTGCAGGGACCTGAACGCCTTAGCGTGCTCACTTCTGGCGAGGTGGCCTGACGCAATCAACCAGGAGCGGCCTGTTCTGGCACCAGCTCCCTACAGACTTATCAGTTTAATGAGGTGAAGACAGACAAAGAATTTTAGGAAGCGCCATGATAGGCAAGAGCGTGACTTAATTTAAGCATGAACTGGATGTTACTATTATGGATCTTTGCTCACGTTTTCTTTTGTATAGTTTTCAATTCTGCCATATGCCTCCTGTCAAGATGTATCTTAAAAGGACATTAATGTACTTATGAGATGTGTAGGAAAAAAATCATTCCCGTATCTCACAGTATGGGGGCAATGCTGGTGTACAACTTAGAGCTGTTGTAGGAAATCACAGAAGTTTGGCCATTAAGAGGCACTGACCTTTTGGCATAACTGGTATAAATTTGGTATAAATTGGGGATGATTTATGAAGATCAGCCAGCAGCTCCACCTACCAAGGGCTAGATGCCTAGGGTTGATCGTTGTAGGTTCAAAATGGCAGAAATCTTCTCTCCAGAAAAGATTTGCAGAGCGCACAGCGAGGGCCAACAAGAGGGTAGCTTTTCACAAGCAACCATTGCTTGACAGGCCCGCTGGGGTTGAAGAGGAGAGGTTTTGCCAACTCCTGCCGCACCTAGCCAGATATTTGGGGGATCAGTAAATCTGGCTAAGCAGGGGGAGGATAACACAACTGACTTGATCAACTACCTGGCAGGGTTTCTGGCAGGAATCTCTTCCCCAGCAATCTCTAGAGATGCCAGGACTTAAATGGAGGCAAAACGGGAACCTGAGCTGAAGCTTCAAGAGTAACTACTAGTCTACCTATTTCATTCCTATTTTCCCAGCCGATTCCACCTGGCCACTATTTTCAAGTGATGTTTTATTCTACAGGCTGCCTGGTGAAAAATTAGACTTGAAAAGCAGCTTACAAATTTGTGGAAGACAGCAAACAGTCCCGCCTGAGAACAGCCATCTGAGAATGCCTTGACGATCAGCTCCACCGAGAATTAGCAAGAGGGCCGGCAGGAATTGCCTTTGCATCTGGCCAAGCTCCACCATTTCTCAACAGGGCACCAATTTAAGAAAAAGCTAAACCCGAAAGGAGAAAGGAGCTAACCCTCCAGGAGCTGATGAGAGAAGAGACCCATCTGCTCTACTTCCTGTCTCTTCCAGTGAGAAAAAAAAATGCCACTGGGGAGTTTGGAAACAGGCCAGGAGAGCAAAATGCCTCCCTTCTGCCCAGACCCCTCTCCAGCTGGTGCCAAATGGCTGACGGCCTCTGACAAAGGAGACGGCCCACACCTCCTGCAACAAGTCACCCCTGATTGCTCTGCCGAAGAGACCAAGGGCCCAAACGGCTGTCCAAGAGGACGTGCTCTCAGCTGCAGGACAGAAGCAGCACTGCTAACCCATCTGACAGGGCTGCTGGGGTTGGGGCCCTTCGGGAACTGACCCGCAGCCCTTTTGGCATTCGGAGACGGCTGGGCCGGGGCCGGGGGAGGCGGCACTAACCAACCGTGGAGGCTGATCTGACAACTACTGCCTGAGACCGAGGCTCGGTCCATACCAGGACTTCGGGAATGGGGGAGCGACCGCATGCAACGCACCTTGGCTGTGGTTCTGAGACGGCTCAAAATCGGAGTCGGAGCTGGACCCGGAGCTGGAGCTGGAGTTGGAAGGGCTGGACACGGCAGACTTTGCCGCCCCCGGAACAAGAAGGAGAGAAGAACGTCAACCGGCGGAGACCCCCTGCCCCTTTTCACCTGCTCAGGTGGATTCGAGGCAAGCCTCCCTCAATGGTTACTTCCAGCAGTTCTGGACTCTGCTCCCTGTGACCAGTGGCCCTGCCCGCTGGGGCTAATGGGTGCTGTGACTCCCCTTCTTCGTTAGCCAGGCTTCAAGGTAGGGAAAGGGATTCTGCAGAACTGAGGGTGGGAACTGAATGGCAACAGCCAAAGAGCAGCTCTGACAGAGAGCGCCATGAAGGTGATTTTTCTTTTTAATGAATAAAGAAAGGGAAGAGTTCCTCAGCTACCTCTTGAAGCTGACTTCAACTTTTCGGAGGAGAAGAAAAAATACGCACATTGGCTTTCTAAGGGGAGGATGGGGCTTGCAGCAGGTCGCCTGTTATGTTCCGAACTGGCTGGCACATCCCAGGAGCTCCT